TTAAAAACTGATTATTTAGAATTAACGACTCTAAATATCTGTGGTTTATAGAATGTTTTTCTTGATTAACTCATCCGGCTTGACTAAAAGAGACTGAGAAGTTTTGTACGGTTTGTTTCTTCCAAGACTCATGTTTCTTCCTCTCAGTTTTTATTCAAAAAACATTCTTTATTCATGTTTCTTTCAACCACTTTTTGACCACGTGTACCTAGTCTATTTAATCCTAGCTAGTTGCAAGTGAATGAAAATCATCGGTTCTTTACACTCTTTTTTTCCGTGAGCCTTTCCCAAAAAGGAAAACCCTTCTTTTTTGGCCCTCTGCCTCTTGAGTCCATCAGTTAAAAATTTCAACACTATCCACCTCAATCAACTCGCAGGCCAAGGCACCGTCCATGTCTCACAAGTTGTCTTGTGGATTTCAACACCTCTCTCCAGAATCTCCTACCAATGAATCCCCCACAGAAGAATCCTCAGCCGAAGAAGAGTTCTCCGCAGAAGAAACCATCACTGAAGAAGAAGAATCTACTGCTGATGATGAATCCTCCGTCGATGATGAATACACTGAAGATGAATATGAATCCGCCACCGATGATGAATCCGCTGCCGACGATGAAGCCGCCGCCAATGATGAATCCGCCGCTGATGATGAACCTGCCACCAAAGCTGAATCTGCCGCAAAAGACAAACCACCTACCGATGATCCACCCCTCACTAAGAAACAGCTCCGTTTCAAAGCCTTCAAGGCCCGAAAGCAGAGGGAGAAACGAGCCAAAGCCAATCAAAAATTTGTTGAATGGGATTTGGATGATAGTCTCACCTCCCATGTATGCACCAAAAACCCCGAGGCTCCAATTCGAATGTTCTCGTATAGTGTGATTGCCTGGAGAGAAGAAGCTCGAAAGAACATCATTGCCGTGGTCAAATTCCGGCCATTTAACACCATGGACGAGGAAACAAAGTCACAATATCAGAATGTTGCCCACCACCTGATCCAACAGACCAGATTCCAGAACCCGAACAAAGTCAACGCTCCAGCATTATCCGGAAAAATGTACAGTCTTGGTTGGCGCAAGGGATTTGAGAAGGACACAATAATTGGTGTCACGGGCGTTGCGGAGAAGGTATCCCGAGACCCTGAAGGATACGAAGAGCTTCAATCACAGGTCGATGATGTTAGTCGCATCATTGGCCAACAATTCGAGGCCCTTTCCCGACCTATTTATCAAGAAGTCAAAAGGCAACATAACACAATTGGGGCCCCAGGGTTAACACCTCTTTTCACCAGTGCCCCTGGCGATTTCACGTGCCATTTATCATACACCTTTGATAATTTCTCAAATAAGCCCCACACAGATTGAGATACTTGCCATACACATTTTTCACATGGCTTCCAATTGACAAAACCACAGGGGACTTAATAGAAGATGATTTGGACGGATACGGCGGTGAATTCGTTTTCCCAAGACATGGATTTGGTATTGACTTTTCCGGATTCAAAGGAGTTGTTGAATGTGCTTGGAGAGCCAAACACATTCACCATCTCACTGTTCCCTCGACAACTCCCGATTCTTCTCCGCATACTCGACTCGGCTACTCTGTCCAACTCCCGAGGAAAACCGAAGACGTAATAAAAAAAAAACAAAAGGTCACTATAAGAAAGATCCCAAAAAGAAACACCGGAAGGTTTGTGACATGTGTGTAATCCTCGATAAATCTCAAACTTATCCCAGACCCAAAAAAAGACAACAAAACGATTACGAATCTTCCTCTGAAAATAACGATGACAACAAACCTTTGTCGACACAACCCTCCAAAAAACGTCCACGAAAATCAAAAAACAATAACGATGACAACAAACCAGTGTCAAAACAACCCTCCAAAAAACCTCAAAGACAGAAGCACTCCAACAAACGTCAAAGACGTTAGCTTCTCTGTTACCAAATCTCTTTTATGTGATTGATTTTTCTCTTATCCATTGTCATCGTGGTCTGGCCATATCCATAATTTCCTTATTTCTTACAACAAAACTCCTCAAACCAAAAAAAAACCCTGTTTTCTCTTAACTAACCTCATTTCTCGGCATTTCATTTTGCTTACTTGCTCCATAAACTGACTGTCTATCAATTTTCTTTGTGGTTGTCATCCAAAAAAAGTAATTCATCACATGTGTTTTTTTGTCTTGATGGGACTTTTATTTCCAATATGTGATGAAACCGTTGAGTTAAGTCATACTACAACAAGATAATCAGAACGGGAGGCTAGTTGAAAAGTTTTGCAATCCTCTCTATGTCTTCCATTGATTTCCCAGAGTCCAAACACTTCACTAACACCTCCATCTTCTTTGCTTGAGCCTCAGCATTTGTTTGGCGATCCAGTTTTTGCAACTCAAAAGCTCAATCTTTTGCCTTCTCCTCCTTATCCATATCCAACTTTTTATCGTCCAACTTGATCGAATGCTCCCATCGTTTACCTTCCATTTCTTTACTATGCTCGAATTTTTTATCTTCCAATTTCAGACCGTTATCTTCCTTTTCAATCATCCTGTTGTACTTCAGCTTTTCAAAGCCAAGACTATCTCGAGCAACCTCAGATTTTCCTAGAAATCCAGGAGAAAGGAAGAATCGCTAATTTACCAGGTAGTTCAAAAGTGAGTGGAATGTAAGATGACCGACCAGCATCTCTTTTCATTGCATATTCTTCGTAGGCTAGAAAAGAGTTGGGAACAGCAGAGGGGCGACCGTGGCTTTTGGGATTGATATTCTTTGAGTTCAATGCCCGGCGCTTTCCTTTTTTTGGGCTTGGAGCCGGTGTGTCGGAGGAGTCCTCGTCGGTTTGATCGTCCAATGCAAGCTCTTCGGGTGTCAAACCAGCATTCAATCCCGAAAACCTTCTTTTGCGCTTCTTCTTTGCACTCGTTTTCTTCTGTGGGGATTTGTACTCAGAATCGTCTTCACCAGAGTCGCTCAGAGCAGGTGCCTTGCTTGTAGATTGCACACGATCGCCTTTGTTCTTCTTCTTCTTTGGTGACTTCTTCTTGGTCCCCACAGCCTTAGACTTCGAAGCTGGATTGGGGACAGTCTCACCCGATGTAGTGGGTTCCTGGATGAGAAAGACGACAATAGTCAACATAGTTGTAGTTTTTTTCCATCACCAAAAAATGCCACTTACACCTGTTGCCCCAGCCTGGACGCCTGCCTTGTAATCCATTGGAAGTTGCCCAGTTGGAGATGCCATTCTCTGTTTGACAAGGCGATATCTTTCCAAATCAGCAAACAGAACACTGACAACAAATGAATCCAATTGACTTACATCTCCTGTGTTTTCTTGCTCCAGGGCCACGATATCAACTTGTGAAGTAGCACTCTTCAACAAAGGGTGAATCGCAGTGGACTCAGAACTTTTGGATGAATCCGTCTTGTCTGAATCGTATGAGGAATCGGAACCATCATGCTCAGAAGAGGATCCAGATTCATCATCTTCATCGTCTTCATCCTCTGCATTGGCCAAAAACAATGGATTGACGTCAGGCCGCTTCCCAAAGATTTCGTCCATTTCAGCATAGAGAGGACACATGTTTTCAAGTTTTTCCTCGATCGTTGTTATTCCAGCCTTCCGATCAGCTGGGGTCAGACCAAATCCAGTTGACATAGATTTCGTATGAGCTTTGTTATACTTGTCCTTGTATGACTTGAAACGATCTTTCATCTGTCGGGGGGTGAGATTGATTTTAGTCGGAGATACATTTCGCAGGTGAATCGCCATCAACTCGTAAACACGCAACATAGTTTTTCTTATCTCTGAGCCAGTCAATGATGATTTCATAGTCCTCTCTTTTTAGATGACCTTGGGATGAACCAAGTTCCTCATCATTCTTCTTTGATCGTGTATTTTTGGGAGTGGCCCTCTTCTTCTTTGGAGGGGTTCAAAGCGATCGTATGTTTGGGATTCTGGAAGCTTTTTTTGGTGGCATCTGTTGGGTGCAAGTAGTGGAAAAATAACAAATTTGCGAGGCCATTAAAATATAATTTAGTTCAGTTGAAGATAAATACCTTGAACTAATCAATTGATCAGAATTGGTTTGATGACGAGTGATTTGCAGGGGTGAGTTAAGAGGAGATGTTGAAGAAGCCGTGGGGTGAGTGGGGTTTGAATCGTGGAGGATGTGGGGAATCGTCGAGGATTGAGGGAATCGTGGAGGATGGGGGATGGTTGAAATTTGAAATTGGATTTTAAATTTGAAATTCAAGAATTTTGGGCTAAAAAATGGGTTGATTTAGGCTATATTTGATACGCCCCTGACAAAAGAAGTAGGTTATTTGGTCACTGCAAAGGTGGATTTGGTAAGTGTGGATTTCGCGAAACCAGTCAATTAAAAAGTGGTGGATTTCGTTATATTTGATACCCCCTATTGTGTCTTCCAAAAAATCACATGAATTTTAGATCAAGATTTGGCAGGGACCTATCAGCACACATAAAACTGCAATAGACCCATCCCAGCCAAAACAATTGAATGGAAATGGCATGAGTATTTTGCTATTGAACTGCATACATGGTGAGCACGGATCCTGGAGGGTCTCACTCAGTCTGTAGATATGCATATAAACCTAAAATTAATCAATCACAGTCCATGATCAGATACTTGGCTCCTAGGTAAGAAGCACACATGAGCAACTAGAGACTATGTATGTTGTGAAAACGCAGTCAAGATTGATTTATAAGAGATTCAAATGTGCATATATGGTAGTAATAACATCACAGAAATATTTGAGCATAAGAGCGTGTATACAATAAAAAGCGAGAAGAACTTTGCGGGGAGTGGAGTGGGAGAAGGGATTGATAAACCAGATAAAGTAGAGAGACGACGAGATTGTGCTTATAAAAGAAAAAAGAAAAAACAAACTACATTCTGAGATAAATAATGAAACGGAAAAGAGATCGATGCTTGTTAGTAATCTCAACGTTGTGACTAAAGCTGTTTTTTTCTTCAATAATTGTATGGGTTAAAAGAAACCCGACTGATAGACAGGATTGTAGTGATGAGGATGAAGTTGTCCCAGCCTTTGTTCCTCTCTTTGCCGGGCCAAGGCCTGATCTCTAAGCTGCTCCAATTCGAGCCGGAGGGTGCGTCTCTGAGCCTCCCATTCCTCCTGGCGGGCCTTCATCCGTTGTTCGTGTTCTTCCCGGTCGGCCTTCCGCTGGCGCGCTTGTCTCTCCATCTCCCATTCGTGCTTGCGCCGGTTGAGATCGCGCCGGAGTCTGAGCTTCTCGTTTTCCCAGGCGGTATGGAGCTTATAAAACTGGGCCTTTTGGTCGACGTAGGCTTGAAAGACTTGGACGAATGAGCATTGGTCCTGGTCGGCCGGACCCTCCCTCTGCTCTCCTTGTCCATCGTTCGTGGGCTCGAGGGATGGCACACTTTGTTGGTCGGAGCTCGCGACGTCCGGCTGACGATTGTTCTCGGGAAGAGCCATTGACGCCAAGTCGATACGCTCCTGCATTGACAGTCGTCCCCGATCTTCATTCGGTCGCACGAGTGGAGCCATAAGAGTGGGAAAGCTGGAGGGGCTTGCCATCATCTGTCGGAAGCCCATCGAAATTATCTGTTTTTTGGCCGGCAGACACCGCTCCACAGCCAAGAGTCCGTCCACTCTCTCCGCTCTATCCTGCTCATACTTTTCTCGATCCTTCGAATACGTCTCTTTGTTTCGTTCAAACTGCCCATCCTCGCCATTCAACCGTCGTTCAAAATCTTGCTTTTCTTCTTCGAACTGGGGATTTCCGGGATACAATTCTCGGTCGTAGATCTGTTTCTCCCATTCTATTCGGCGATTATCGATCTCCAATTGATGGTTAAATGACTCCTTTTCCCATGCCAAATGTCGATGAAGGAATTCAATTTTTTGTTCCATATTAAATTGGAATGCTGCCACAAGTGAATTCAGCCTATTTTCTGATAGGTTCTCCTGCTCTCGAGGTCGTTTCGTGATTCTGTTGTCCTGAGTGTCCAAGCTTCGACGACGAGACATCGGAGAGTCCAACAGCGGTCTGTTTTCGGAAAGAGGGGCCGTTACTCGACGGCGTGGATTTGTCGACGGCCTTCGGTATGATCTCCTTCTGGATACCACTGGTGATCCAGGACCTTCTTCTTCGACTCCGGGTCCAGCTGGCATCAAATGGGAAGCCGTTCTAAGTGTGGCAGCCTTGGCTCTGGTTGGCATTGCAGTACGCCGTTGGGTGCCTGCTCTGGTGGGGGTTCGGAGATCGGGATGTATGGCCGCTTGGGTGGTGTTGGTCTGCTGAACAGGGTCCATATCAGAGTCACTGGGTAGTTCTTAGGTGTCTCTAATCTGGAATCGGCTTGCTTATTGCTTCGGTCTACTCCAGGCTTCCAGCCTCTGAAGGAAGATAGAATGTGTATGAGCGGGCGTTCTCCTAGGCCAATTTGATTATCTCCATGAGCGTCACTCACTGTGTCCCTTCTAATGTAAAGTAAGCACTCGCTGCAACCAACCTCGGATTTTGAACCTTGATGAAGAGATAGTTAATAGTGCAGTTGGGGGGCGGTCAACAGAGGTCAACAGCAGTTTAGCAGCAATAAGGACTGTCACAGAGTGCATGAGTGTGTGACAGGCTGGCAAGAGCGTGACAGTTTGAGATGTGAAACTCTCCACTGTCAGCCGGACACCACTCTCCCTGCAGCGGGGACCGATGAAGTCCTTCCTGGATTGGTGATGCCCCTTCTCGAGGAACCTATCCATTCACTTCACGTCAGCTCTCCTATCCTATCAAGACTAACCGATTTCCCAGTCAAGTACTCGCAAAGGCTTCAAAGAGGTAAGCAGAATTTCTAACCCTCGGCTTGCAAGGAAACTGATGATTGATGCCTGACTGATCCACGGGAGCTTGTTGTTTTACCCTGAAAAGCCGGCTTCACAACAGCATCAGAGATCATCCTAATCACTCCGGAGAGCCTCAAGAGCCAGACCGGATTGAGCAGCGAAGAGGTCCAAGATGTCTACCGCAGATTATCCGAGATATGTTCGCCGCAGGTCTCGACGGTTTCCGCGCGACTCATTGAGGGAAGTAAGCAAGGGTTTATCACCCTAGGGTCGGCCGATCTGGACCGCGTGTTCGGCAGTCCACAGGGCGGGATCCCCACCGGACTGTTGACGGAAATCGCGGGGGAATCGGCATGCGGAAAGACCTGTCTGGCCCTTCAGCTCTCCTTGAACGTTCAACTGCCTCACTCCCTCGGAGGCCTTCTGGGCGGATGCATCTATCTGTGCACCGAAAGCGCGTTCCCTACCAGAAGGTTACACGAGATGGCTGCCGGGCTGTGTGCTCGTGTGAAGAACATCTTGGATTCTTTGGACCCCGAAACTCAGGAACTCATCCTACAAGACTTGCGCGTCGAGAGTCTGATGGAAAACGTCCATCTGACACGTGTCCATGATCCACAAGCCTTAATCCACACGATCCACTACTATCTACCTGGGTTTCTGGGCAGACAGAACGAGTCGAAAGGCGGATCTCAGCGACCCATAAGATTGATAGTATTAGACTCGATCGGGGCGATCTTCCGAACGGATCTCGACCCATCGAGGATGTCGACGACGACGATGGCGAAGGAGCATTCACAAAACAATGCCAAGTTTAGGATGACCGAGCGGGCGGCGGAGATGAACCAAGTAGCGGATGGCCTGAAGGAGCTTGGGGCGCGATACGGCTTGGCGGTGGTGGTGGTCAACCAGGTCTCAGACGTCATGGCCGCCTCCTCTTCCTCCTCCTCCGAGCTCGTCCTTCCGCGGCCAGTCCAGAAGAGCGTCGGCCGGTCCCACGGCTTCGCGTCCTTGCATCCCTCCCCGCTACACAGCTCGGGCAGCACCGTAGTCGAGACCGGCCGGAAAAGCTCGCCGCCCAACAACCCCCCCTCCCCTCTTCCCCCGCCCATCTCGACGCCCGCCTCTACCCCTGACTCGACTCCCCTTCTTGCCACACCAACCAGTCACCTCCTCTCGCCAATCCCGCTCCTTTACCACCACCAAGCACGCCATTTCACCGGACAAAAGGTCACCCAAAACCGCAAGGAAGCCGCGCTTGGGATCCATTGGACTAACGCTATCAACCAACGAATCATGCTCAACAAACTCCACTCGTCCATCGACCCCATCTCTCTCCCAAAACCCCTCCTGGAGATCGACAATCATCCGCATAATCCGAATCCCGTTAGGCTCGCTAAACTTGGCCTAAGAGAGGCCGTCCTCGTCTTCTCTCCGCTCGGATTTACTCCCCTCGATCACAACCATAGAGCCGTACAGTTCGTCATTCATTCTCGTGGAATCGTCTCTGTTAATGAGTTCTTGTGATTCTCTCTCTGCCCGGCGAGGCGGAGGGGGGGGGGTCCTTTCTTCCGCATGTTTCGTACATTTTGATTATATATTTTATTCTTTATTCATAGCAGATCTGTAGTCTTTTCCTCATTTATTTATCAGTGTTTTCTTCTTTCAAAGTACATGTAATATACTGCATTAACATGTTTGTGTGTGTCTGTGTGGAGATGTTTTTTTCTTAAAAAAAAGTAATATGATGTGATGTATTTCAGCAAATCACATTGATCGAGATTTCTCCAGTTGGTTGATTTTTAACGATTGTGGAAAACCCTTGCAAACTTGTCTGTATAGATATCTGATCAGGCGATGTGGTGGATTGACATGACTTGGTATGTAGTAACTGATAATGAGCGTTTCTTTTTGGATTTGTTTGTAATTGTCAAAGTGGTGCTTCTCCATGAAGTGACTGAACAAGTCAGTTGCGGTGCGGACACTCCATTTGGCGGAGTGGGTATGACACTCACGCGAATCCCGACGCGTCGCATTTTGTTCTGATCATCCACTTGCTCGAGAAATCCATTTTTGTTTACCAATAATTAACCATCACATCGTCTAGAAGGTTAAGGATCGACTACACGTAAACGAATCGGAATGTTGGAAGAAAGTGAGTTTTGAAATATCTTCCTTCATCAATCGGTTGGAGTTTAACTGACTCATATGTCGTACAACTTTTGGTTATGAATGTTTCTATTGACACGAGTGAATAGTAGACGAGTTAGAAGTAGACGAAGCGTTTTTTGGGGCACTTCAGGAGAACCATTCGGTAGAGGAATCCGAGCAAGCGAAAGCGTTAATCGCAGAGGGAGACATCGAAGGAGAAGCCTCCGAAGCACGCCGATCTCACCATACATTCCAAGACATCTGCGATGATCCGCAATCACTGCTCATGGGAAGTAGAAGGCCTCGATCCTCGTCTTCCGAATTGGCGCCCGAGGTGGATGAGGAGGAGGAGGAGCCGGCGGATAGATCTGTCAAGAAATTCAAGCTGGATTCGGTTGATGCTCCTCATCAAAACATCGTTCAGGATTCAATCTCGAAAGAAATTCCTGATGTCACTCACAATGCCGCCATGGTATCTAATTCAAGGCAATCTGAAAATCGCAAGGGAGTCGATGAAGGTCTAAATGGACTGGATGTTTTAGAACTCGACGAAGCTTTCCCTCCACTCCCAGGACAAGAGCCGGGCTCTGAGAAGGAGAACAATGACAACGATTCAGCCCTTGCCGGACCGTCCAAGGGTCGAGAAGGCAGTCTGGCGACGTTGGAATTGGAGATAGACGAAAGCTTTATGGTCCCGATGAAGCCGATCCCCCAGCCGTCTGTGCCAGCGTTTGAACGGATCAGAAGAGACGAGCCGATCTCCGATTCGCCGGTTTCCTTTGATGAGATGATGGATGAGGCGGAGAACCACGGAGGAGGAGACGATCTCTTGGAGATCGATTCCCAGTTCGGCGACAGTCATCTCAATCGTCCTACCTCTGCCCAAGCTCCAATCCCTGCATTCAACTCTCGTGCATCTCTGCTTCAAGAAGAAGCAGAGCCCCGCAGAGATCTCTCCGATCCGTATCAGGCGCGCTGGGTCCCTACTGCCTCCATCATGGCCACTAGGCTCGACGGAACTCAGTTCAGAATCCCTCGACGAAAGAAAATCGGCTCTACTCAGGTTGTTAGTCGTCGCCACTATTTTTCGAAAAAATTATTTTCCTCTTTCTTTTTTTGCTATTTCTCTACAATTTTCTAATTGATTATATATCCTCAATAAAAAGACTAGGGGTGGTGCACAGCCTACTGAAGCTTTACGAAAACAATGTCTCGAATTACTTGATGAACCGATTCATAGAATGTTACAAGCAGTCCGCGAAGAGATTTTACATAAAGACGCCCTGGCCGTAGCGTTTGTGATTCTTTATTTTCTTCTCCTCATAAGTTAAACTTGTGATTTTTTTTTAAAAAAAAAAACAATGGAGTTGTCTCAAAAAAAAAAAAATTATTTTGTCTATCAATAAAGGTCGGCAAGTCTACCGCCTAAAGTCGAAACCTCAAATCCTGGACCCCGGTCTCTTTGGACAGATCGCTATCGACCAGTCAAGTTCATTGATTTGATTGGCGATGAGGTATGTATGCAACTACTTGTCATCTCAGCTTTAATAATTCCCTTTAACCAAACCCAAACATCAGTGATCTATTTTTAACCATGGGCGTTTTTGTTTTTTTATTTCCTTAATTTTAACAGCGGACATTTCGGAGCGCCATGAGCTGGTTAAAGACGTGGGATAGATGTGTATTCAAGAAAGTAGAATCTAACAAACGGAAACGGCAGAGTAAAGTGCAACCACAATGGAATGCGAATGGGCCATCGAATTCGTTTGCCGAAGCAGCCGAGACGGATCCGTATGGACGTCCACACGAAAAGGTGTTGTTATTAGCGGGTAAGCCGGGTCTAGGGAAGACGACGATGGCGGAAGTTTTAGCGACCCAGGCTGGATATCAAGTCATTGAGATCAACGCCAGTGACGATCGAAGTTCACGGACGGTGACTGATCAGATTAAGAGCGCATTGGAAAGTCGGACGTTGGATGCTGGGGCCAAGTTTGGAGGGGGCCTTTCACTCAAATCTAACCGTCCAACCTGCGTGATCATCGATGAAATTGATGGCGCTGCCGCCGGCGGTGGTGGTGGTGGTGGAGCTGGTGGAAGCGAGGCTGGCTTCGTTAAGGCTCTGGTCAAGTTGGTCACTGAAGGAAGTAGTAATGCTCCCAAATTCAACAGTTAAGCGGAGCTCCGTTCTTCTTTCCTTTGATCCGCTTCATCTGGCTAACTTTGGTAGGAAATCGTGTGGCGGGATATATATAATGTTATATAGGTAAAGGAAAAAGTCTAGATCAAAGGCCATTACTGCGTCCGATAATTTGTATATGTAATGATTTATATGCACCAGTACTGAGGCCACTCCGGCCGATTTCGCGAATCATCAGGTTCAACAATCCGACGCCATTGACGATCGTGAAACGATTGCAGACGATCTGCAAATCCGAGAAGTTGCTAGCTGACCTGAACAATCTCAATTATCTGGTCAAGTTAGCCTCGGGTGATTTGAGGAGTTGTTTGAACACTTTGCAGTTCATCAGCACCCAGAGTACTACCCTCACCGATCAGATCATCAAGTCCGCCGTCGAAGCTAGTGTCAAAGACTCTGGCTCGTCTATCCAAACCGTCCTCTCTCATTTGTTCAAAATCCCAGTCAGAAAATCAGCAAATAAGGATTCCTCTGGTCGGTAGTATAACTCACTCAAACCCTTGCTAAATTATCCAAATCTATTCCTTTCAGCACTGGATTGATTTGAGTGTGAATATTTGCCAGGCTCGAAGAATTCATACCTCAATGATTTGGTTAGGGACATAAGCGCCTGTGGCCAGAATGATCGGATCATCCAAGGCTGTTTTGAGTCTTATTTAGGGATGAAGCAGCCGACGGATCTATGGCAGACGTATGACCGCTTGCACGAATGGTTAGACTTCCACGACCGCTTGGAGACAAAGATCTGGAAGGAGCAGGAGTATCAGTTGTCGGGTTATGTGCCCTATTCGATTGCGATCTGGCGAGAACTGATGGGAAACGTGACGAATAAGGCGCCTGATTATCCGAAGATCGACTACGAACATTTCCTCAAACGGTCTATCAACGAGGAAACTCTGTCATCCTTCAATTCGCATTTGCCGCCCATCGTCAAGGCTAGCTTCAAATCTCAGGAAGTCGTCTGTGAACTCCTGCCCTTCTTGATCAGGATCCTCTCCGTCGACCTCAGACCTGTGAACTCTAAGTTGATCAAAAAGGAGGAGAAAGACGTCCTTGCTAGACTCGTTTCTATCATGATCGAACTCGGCTTGAAGTTTGTGCAAGATAAGAGTGAGGACGGTCAACTCTCATATACCTTAGAACCGTGAGTTTTCTTTGTCTGTTTTCCTCTCCGCTTTTTCCCTTTAAAATTGATTGTATGACTTGGCCAAATGTCTTCTCATCCCTCCCGCTGCTTCTGACATCCCTTCTCGATACCCCCCCCCCCTTTTTTTTCCTGATGGATAAATGACATTTTAATTTATGTCTACAAGAGCGGTTGATTTTCCAGTTTATTACGAGGGTAAACGACCGATTGATATCCCACCACCGAGGTATTCTGTCCGACAAATGATTCTCAATGAGGTACATTTTACACCCTTTTCTTCATTCGCCCATGGGGGAGATAATGGAGTATTTTGGAGTCCACTGAACACTGGCTTTGGTCCAATAGATGAACCTGTTGTCTCGTGCTCGTAAGCAAGATCGGCCGACCACTTCCAGCTCCGATGCAGCATCCGGGACGGCTGCTTCCATCATCAATGCTTATAAACAGTACGTCCTTCCCTCTATTCCTTTTTTCTCGGATCATAAATCCTGCTTGTTTGAGATCCGTGAAAGAATCTGACTCGACTTTTCGTTTTTTTTTTATTACATTTCGTTCGGAAGGAAACCTAATGGATTGAAATCCGATCTTCCGGAGAAAGTGGCACTCGATTTCTTTGGACGGAAACGGGTTGAAACAGATCCCAAAAAATGTCCTGGTAAGCTCTCCCAAGAGTGTTGTCTCTTCTTTTCCCTGTTGGCTTCTTGGGTTTGATTGGGGATTACTCATGGTGACAATTTTGCTGTTCCTTGTTTGTCCTGATTTTTTTTGAAATCTTGATCAACCGTTGATTAATTTTAGATAACGGTCAGAAAGATCTTCCCAAAGAGAAAATCAAAATCCTTTATCGATATCATGAGGTCAATCAAGTTTTCTCTTTCTGATCTTTATCCTTTGGCAAAGAAAAAGCTGATCTTTTCTTTTTCTTCTTGGTGGGGTTGTGTATGGTTATATCTGACAGGGATTTTCTAATGCTGTAAAAAAAGGAATCACGTTTAATGAATTGATGATGAAATGAATATCTGTTATTTTTATCATATCAATTTTCATCCATTTTTGGTACTTTTTGACTCAATTTAACCAGTCGTACAAGTTCAAACATTTGTTCTGCACTTCAATGGTTGATCATGTATTATTATCATTTGGACCTTTGTTCTTCTTCTTAATTCAGGTTCTCTCATTCACTAACAATTGGATTTAGACGACGCCATAATTGGGGTAATTCAACACATCGACAGTGTCATAGAGAAAGCTGGTTTGGTTGATCCAAACACTACGTGTGTTGGCTTCGGAACAACCAAGGACACATGTCCATCAGACAAGACAAAGATAATCAGTTCTTTACAGACAGTTCATTACAGCATTCTTTCGTACACATTCTACAAAGATCAAACAAGAGAAACACTCGGCAAGGGATTCTTTGGGAGTATCAATAATGATAGATAAAGTTTTACAAGACAGCTAGAGGCAGAAGTAAATTTTTGCACGTCGTATAGCCTATAGGTGCTACTGGCACTAGGGGTGTTCAGAGCAAGAGCTCGAGTCTGTGTGATAGTACCTGGGCATCAGTAGTGAGCGACATAATGAAGACAAGGGGAGGAAATGAGACGGACTTGAGTTTGTCGGTGGTGATCCTGATTGCGCGAGGTCCAGCCTCGGTAGTTTTTCCGGCCTTGGAGTCCTAGAAAGGCCACATGATCGGGGACGTCAGTATCAGTCAGCCAGGGCAGGAAGACTGCAAGAGTAAGGGCAAAGAAGCAGAAGGGAGACTTACATTGGTGATCATGATAACTCCAGGAATCTCGACCTGCTTGGGTTCAGGGTGATCCTTCTCAGCCGGATGATCATGACCATGCTCGGCGGCCGGGGCGGGAGGATGATCCTTTGGCTCGGCATGAGCGTCGGCGGGTGCCGGCGGGGGTGGGTGATCTTTCTCGCTGGGATGGCTTTTCGGGTCGTCGTGACCGCTTGCAACTGGTGGAGGCGGAGGGTGGTCTTTCTCATCGAGAGGATTCTCCTTGGGTCCGTGATGGGCATTCGCATCTGCTGGCGCAGGAGGGTGAGTAGGCGTGGAATCCGGGGCGGGAAAGTCTACCCGCTCGATCCGGATGCCGGCGATGACTGCGATCTCCGTGGTCTGTGTCTTGGCCTTCTCGGGTCCATGGGGTCCCGTCTTGGGATGCTCATCTCCATTGGGTGGATGTGGTGGGTTCAGAGGATTAGGCTCCGGGTGGCCGACTGGCTGGTGCGAATCGGCCGGTGGCGGCGGCGGTGGCGGGTGCTGTTAAAGAAGGGAAATGATATTCAGAATTATTAGCCACCTTGTATGCCGAAACTGCTGCATGCACTGTGTGCGCTTACCTCTTCCGGCCCGTCTTTCTTAGGTGGAGGCCCGCCGGCCCCCTCGTGCCCATTGTGATCGTCCCCGTGAGGCTCATGAGGTTTGCCATCAGGTTGAGGGTTTGGACCTGGGGCGGATGGGTCATCAATGGGATGTGGGATAAGTTCCTCATGGCCCGGTCCATTGTCTTTCTTGGCAGGGGGATTCTGGAGCGGGAAAAAAAAATCAAAAGGTTCGTGAGTAAGACCCCAGGCTTTCCAAGACTCAGCTCGGAATTCGATTAACTCACCGGTCCGAGCGCCTGGCTGAAGGGGTTTCCTTCGTGATCGGGAGTGGGTTTGTCCTGAGGCTTGTGCTCGGCAGTAGGAGGGGCAGCTTTCTCGGGACCGCTCGCACCGGTCGGCGGTGCATCCGGTTTTTCCTTGGGCTCGGGAAGCGCATCGGGCGGGACAATGTCAGAGCTACCAAGAATTTGGTTCACGCGTTGGGAGATCGTTTCAGCCTGGCTAGATCGTGGTCGGATGAGATGGGACCTCTTTTTTCGTGTGACGATCGGATTAGCACTCATCCCGTGGTGGACTGAAGAGGATATTCCGAGAGCACGAGATGACTCCCAGCGGCCTCCCACAGGGGAAGAGTACGAGTCTTGGATGAGAGGCATGACACCCAAAAGGATGGCGGCACCTAGGCTTCGGCTTGAAGGCATATTGTGCAAGGTTGGGCGTAAAACGGCGTTGCTATTCGGGATAGTTCTGGATTATTGTTCGTTCCGGCTCGGGATAGCAAGTCGGGTGAAGGACGGTGAGGGACGGTGGAATGAGCAGACATTGACACCGGATGAGGCACTCTTTAAAGCTTCCAAAGGTCCCCACGAATGCTCTCATGGCCGGCTTGGGCCTTGCTGCCTTGATGTGCGTTCGGCTTGGGACAAGTGTGCCGATCAAAGATCTGGCTGTTTGGGCTCCTCGCAACTCACCCCGATCAATACTTCGCAGGCTCCAAGGATCGCTATGTACACCACGGGTGCATCTCGACGCCAACCCGCCCGGCATTTTGACGGACGAACCGACCTCCGCCGACCCAGCCAAACCTTCCTGTCTGCCGACGTCAAATTGGCAGCTTTGAAGCCAGGGGGTCGGCGTGGTCGGGGCGTTGACCCATGTCCGCCGGACGGGATGGGGGTGGTCCGACGATAAGCCGCGGTCAACTGGGAAGTGTCCCAGGGTTCTGACCTTGCCTGCGATTATGGATTCAGGGGTCATGTCGCCGGCCTGCCCGCTTTTTGCGGTCACGGCACGGCCATATGACCGTCATGCCGTCGGATCTCATTTTCACTATCTCAGGTCCGTGGGATTATGGATCCTAGGTACACTACGGGGGTGCTTTTAAGGTTTTGCTCCGAAAGACTTTCGAAACGTGAAGTTCGAAGCAGCTTTCGTAACACTTTCGAAATCTTTTAAGAAGTTCCGCAAAAAATATCGAAACAATTTCGATATTTTGTGTTTAAGGTTTTGGTCTGACACATTTCCGGTTTTTATGCGGATTGTCCCGGATCAAAACCTTAAAAGCAAGTTTCGAAGCTGTCTTCGAAAGACATTTCGATATAAGTTGGCATCTTTCGAAAACAATTCCGAAAGGTGTTCGAAAGGGAAAGGTCTCGACCAACCGGTCTTCAGATTAAAAGGACAACCTCTCCTGGCTCCCCTTCCACCTCCGCCAAACCTCTCATCCATCTCCTCTGCATCATTCGACTCCTCCTCCTGTTCTTCTTTAGCAGAGTATCCCCTCGATCACCTCACCAAGATTCAAAAAAATGTCCGTTGCTTGATTTCTCATTCCTCGTTGTCCTCTCTGCTACCTTCACAAAAGCCCCTCAAGTACTACTGCTGTTTGCTCGAGCTCAGTCCAACGTACCTGCTGAATTTGATCAATCATCTACAGACTACAACTGCTAGCTGTTATCGATCTGTTGCTTACAGCGCCACTTGTGAAAACACACCCATCCGCTAACTTATCATGTTTTAGTTGCCTTGTATTTTTCTGCTTCTCTTCCTTTTCTCTATTCAGACCCCTCATTACTCTTTTCTTATCCTTTCTTTCATTTCATTCCAATCGATTGATTGATCATAGTGAAATGTTGATGGGATTTTTTTTTTCTTTTTCTTTTGTATGGAGTTGTTATTTCTTTTCTCTATTATACATCGCAGAAATACAAAATCATGAACCTCACAGATACATGATTGAGAATGATCGATGAGTACAATGTCCCAATAGAACGGGACAACCCTTATAAGAGACAAGGGTGCTGATCCAAAAGCCAGCCGAGAGTGCCACTGCAGGACTATAACAGTTCGGAAAAGGTTTCGAAACCTCCCAGTTATTACGGGAGTCTTTCGAAAGTCTTTCGGAATCATTCCGATGTAGCCCTTCGGAGTCGATTTCGAAACCACGGGAGTTTCGTGAGTACTTCGAAAGGATTCCGAAAAGCTATCGGAAGGTCTTCGAAAGACCTTCGGAATCCCTTTCGCATCGCATTGCGAAATGTACCTGGACCAAGGTCCAGGACGTCCGCCCCTGCGGGCGCATATTTCGAAACATTTCCGAACGAACTTCGGAAATGTTTCGAACCCCTGCACCCGTAGTGTATCTGCAGGTGGGACGACGACAGCTGGCGGTTGGGCCGCCTGCATGGATGTCACCTGCGCGTTTGACAGCAGATGGATTCCTCCGGTTCTCACCCATTTGAGGATGGTCCGGCACCCGGGGAATTGTAATTTCAAATCCGGATTATTCCGGCGCAGTTTAATCCGCGGGTTTAAGGGGAGGGATTTTATCCGCCTGCGGGGCCGTTGGGGGCCCAAATATCCGAGCGATCCCGATGGATCGCTCGCAGGTGGATCAGACAGATTTTTAGATTCATTTCAAAACGGCGAGGCTAATGGCTTTTAGCCTGTTAGATAGCATATCGCGATAGACTACGACTACGTGTATATAAGAAACTAATGCTCAAGAGAATTTTTTGTATGACCCAATATGTGTGTGCTAATCGAGACGGGATCTTAGAGGGCGATTTTATGTAAATTATCCTACCTATTGCTCATTCATGGCCGCCAATCGAGTGGCACGCTCAGCAGCTGGGGTGCGGTTCAATCGTTCCACCTCTTCTTGCACCTCAGCCTCGGTTGGAAGGTGGAACGTTTCGCGAGGGATATCGCCAATATACTTGGTACCATCGAAGTACTGAGCGTCTTTGCGGATGATAAGCTCAATATGCCTGCCGAATGTTGAATGGAATATCATTTGTCTAGCTTGGTTCACACGGATGGTCATTAGAAATGCGATACTTACGCTTGAAGCACCACAGGACTTAGGCCAGATAACATCTCGAGATGGCGATCTATGATCTCCCACTGGGAGGCGGTTTCGCCAGGTGGTCGGTTGATGTAATGATCAACCGCAAGTAGGCGCAATAGGGCAAATCGGAGCCTTACTGGGCGGGTGGCCCACTGTTGCAATTCCTGGCGAGTGAGGGCGTTGCGTGCGCCGCTGAGTCCTTGATCGATGAGGACGAGCAGGTCAAATAGGCGAGGTATCGGCGCGGGGGCTCGACGACGTGGGTCTGGTCGGACTTGAATTAGGAGCTGGGGGCTTATCTCAGTACGGGGAACGGAAGGATGAGAGATGTTGATAGGTGATGGGTGTGCTTACCAAGTTGCGAAGGGTGGTACGCTCATGTTTGACCATGGTACGCAGGAATTGGTCGAGGTTTTGGATGGCTTCCAAGTCGTTAATGTCATTGGTCAGACCCGGCGGGAGGTGTCTTTGTCGCCACAAGGCAGGTTGTGCCAATACGTGAGCCTGATTAAAGATATAGTTAGTGTGAGGTCTCGGTTGCCTCACTTGATGAACGTTTGAGCATACATACACGGATGAGCGGGAATGGCGCATTTGTATACCTTTCGCCGTTGGGCCCATTGTTTCGGGTGTAGGCGGCAAGGTTCGGCTGTCTCAAAATACGGCGGATTTCCTGGCGTACATGTTCCTGGGCAGGGGGTAAGTCAGCCCGGCGGCTGTGTGTTGGATAGGGAGTGGTTGGGTGTTTAACTCACTCGGATTATCTTGCCATAGATGTGGCGCGCCGGGGCAGGTGCTATGTTGGGGACGGCGTCGGTTGGTGGGAAGCCTCCACGCTGCATAAAGGCCCCGATCACTGTGGCCATGGCCGTAGGGGTCTGGAGGGCAGACCCGATGTTTCATTGATTAGTTTTTGATTGCACGGGGGGAGGATTGCTGCTGAGTGGCTTACTTCTAGTAGTCGGCGCATGAGATCCCCATTGGCCGATAGGTCTGAGTCTGGGGGGGCACCTGGCATGGCTCCATGGTTGGCGTTGGATTCAAGCCCGATATTGCTGGCGCCGGTAGCGAGGGAATCACCGAGGTCCAACGGTGGGGGAAGATTGAGGTCTACATCAGTGTGGCCCCCTCCAGTGGGGTCTGTATCGTTTGGGTCCATGGCCCCTGAGCCAATGAGTTCGGAGTAGTCCGGGGTGTCGTGGTAGTTGCCTAGGTTGGGGCCTTCGAGGTTGCTATCTTCTGGTCCGTCTGGGTGGTTGGTCATCTGGTTCTCCATCGGTTGATGGGCGTGGGGGTTGCCATGACTTCCTGTATTGCTCGATGTTAAGGTCTGGGGAGTTAGGGCGCCCCCAGCGCCCCTAGGTTGCTCGCCCCGATGAGGGTGGTAACGAGCTAGTTGATCAAGTTAGCATCCAGGTCAACAGTTCTGTATCTCAAACATGGTCGCTTACCGTTAGTTGGTGAGATGCGGTGCGGGCCCAACCCGCCTCCCTCGGTCATATTGGTTGCGACGTTTGGCCTTTGGCGATGCGGTGTAATGTTGGTTGCTGGGTTTCCGAGGTTGACGCCGGCAGGGTTTTGAGGTGGCAGGCCAGTTTGGCTGTGGTTGCTAGGGGGATTGTAGTAATTCATGATGTTGGCTATCAGTTGTTAAGTCTACAAAATCTAGAATTACGTTAGGTGAGACGAAGGTGAGTGGCTCTGTTTGGGAGAGGAGCTTGATGGAATTGATGGCTATTTATACTACTGGGAGCGATCATTGGAGATGCCTACCCATCTGCATCACTTAAAAATTTTGAATACTTGTTCTGATCGATTAAACGCACCTGCCCTTGAACTGCTTTTGCTTCTTTCTCTTTGATTCCCACGTAGTCGCGGTATATTGATTCCTGTGATCCAATCGGCCCCTCTTGATAGTTCCTTGCTTTGGCTTGAATAGCTGTCCGATTCGCCTGTTCATTCTATATCCTGTGAAGTCTAAAATGGATGTGATTCAGCGTCGCCCGGTTGGTTTGTATTACGAGCAATGGTTGCTGCCTGGGCAGCAACCGGCATATCTCTGCAGGTTATGCAATAGCAAGAAGACGTTCCAGTCAATCAAGAACCATGAAAGGTGGATCAAGCACAAAGAACGGGTTCGAGACCGGGACGCTTTATTGGCCAATAGGGGCGGGCGGGATGGATCCTGGGATACCCGTCAGGTTGACGACATGAGAGTCGACAATCCGACCCCTGCTGGCATGGGTCAAGCCGACGTGCTTGCGAGACTGGATGCTGGTTTCGGTGGTGGAGCTTATGATGACGATATTGATTGGAGAACAGATGATGGACAAATCGATGATGTGAACGAACCTGTGCGGGGTGACGACTTTGACGAGCGCTTTTCCGATGTGAGTTTGAACGGGCTGGCATTGATTATTCGGAACATCCGTCAGTCCTCGCCGGTTGATTCAGATTACTCGAGTGCGGCGCCTTCGGTGTGGGGGTTTGGGGACGATGATGAGTTACTCGCCGGTGGAGATCGAGACGCCGAAGGAGAAGTGGATGAAGTGCGTCATCTTGGTGATCGGGGCTGGTTCCCCTTCAAGGATAAAACCGTAAGTCCCCTTGCCCCCTGGGCCCGCGGGCATGTGCGGACTTAGGACCCCTGCTCATTGATTTACCCCCCCCCCCCCAAAAAAAAAATCCGGCTTTCAGTATTTTTTGGGCTTGATGCTCATGGGTCACCTGCATAACCTCATGTCATCGCAAGATTATGACAAAGTGCGGTGCATGATGATAAGGCTCCTGGGTATCACAATCCCACACTGGAAAACCATGACAAAATCCAGGCAGCTCATCAGAAACATGTTGAACATGCGCATGATCTACAGGCTCAGCCTCTTTGACAACAAATGCTATTCATTGAGCCTACAAAACACAATAGCCCTGGTAAGTCTATTCATTCAAGAAATGTAAAATATTTGGTTCAGAAATTGACATTTGGGACATTCTTTTGGGCTGACAATAACTGAACAGGATTTGTCTAACCCTTTGGTGAACAAACACTTGGATTTCTACCCAGAGGACCCAGTTGGGTTTAATGTCTACAAGCTTAGCCAAAGTTATAAATGGAGGGCTGATTTGCCTGAGGACCTTAGAGTACAGATGGTTCCCATCCGTTCCAAGCATTTCTACTTATTTGAGCCAGTTGAATTACTTGACAAGACACTGGTTGTTCCAGTTTACTTCTACTCTTTTCAAGGGAATCTATTCTCAAAATGCGTACGGCCCAAAACCCGGGTCTCAAGGGACAAGGACAATAAGAAAACCAACCACTTGATAATTCCTGAACACTTGAACTTCCTTTCTTCCGACTTATTTGTAGTTGCATGCGATGAGTTTGCACTGCTGTCTTCAGAAATTGTAATGCCAGGTGGGCAGTCTTTATCTGCAGTATATGGGGCCGCCATTTGGGGTTAGTCAAGGTTGTCTGCTTGGGTGCATTGTGAACTGCTGACCTGAATATTCTTTAATCCCTTGTACTAAGCTGTCCAAGATGGTAAAAGCAGGCGAATCTCTTTCCCCAACCCTTGGAGAGGAAAGGCACAAGGGAAGATCATCAGACATGTGCCAATAACTTTGTACGCTGATGATACATCAGGTAACCGGTCAAAGCAGTGGAATAAGCACATTTCATATTATTACACACTATCAGGCCTTCCCCCAACCATGACCAACCAGCAATACAACTGCCATTTCCTGGCTACATCAAACACCGCGTCCGCTCTAGAATTAGCTGATCAGATAGTGGATGAGATGAAGTGAGGCAGTCTTATAAATTTTTTGCAGGTTCAACCAATACTGACATGTCTTCTTCCATCAAGTGACCTATCTACACATGGGTTCAATGCCTATGATGCAGGAATTCAAGCAGAAGTATTGGTCATGCCCTTTGTGCTATGTTTTCTAGGGGACTCCCCTATGCATGCTGAGATTGCAAACACTCCCATGCCTTCAACTGCTTTGAATCCCTGTCGAACGTGCAAATTGGCCGCTCCAGGAAAGGGGGCCAAATCCACACATGACTATGTTAATGATTTCTTGGGCAAAAACAAGGATGGAGAAAAGGTAATTAACCTCATGGAGACATTTCATGTCACATATGACCCAGGATGTGCAGTACTGAGCTCACACATGCTTCTGTGGTCCAACCTTAGGCAAGTTTTAGATACCGAAAGTGGTCCGAGACAATCGCACATACACATGAGCTTTGGAACATTGGTATGAATAAGTCAAAAAAGAAGTTTGATGAACGATCTATTGAAGTAGGAGTACGGGACGTCTTTAATCGTACATGTCTGCAGATCATCAAGGACCGCAAGGCTTCCAAGACAAAAAAGATATTGATTCGACAGATGCACAGGGCCAAGTCATCCAAATTGTTCAGCCCAATCCTCAGACTAAAAGGTGTGATATCTGTCTGGTCCAGGAGAGTGCTTAGCTATGGCAGATGTCCTAGTACTGACATGTTGTATACTCCTATTGTGCACAGGCTTTGATGGAGGTAATGACACCCCAGTGGAAATATTACATGTATTTCTCCTGGGAGTTGTGAAGTATCTTCTGAGAGATTTTATGACCACCACGATCAAGCCCAAACATATCCCCCAGTTGATAGCCTCATGGGACTCATTCAAGGTGCCACCATTGGACACCCCACAAATTGCAGGGAAGTATTTTGTCAAGCACTACAAAAGCCTGGTTGGGAAGCACTTCAAGATGGTCATCCAACTGGCCCCATTTGTGCTCTTCCAGTTCATGAATGAAGAACAAAGGGCACTCTGGACTGCAATGTGCCGCCTGGCACCACTACTTTTCCAAACCTCCATCCCAAACATGGAAGTTTACATCAAGGACCTGGAGGAGAAGATTGACAACTTCATGTATCTGGTCATCCGAATGTCAGCTCAATGGGTCAACAAGCCAAAGTTCCACATGCTCTTGCATCTACCCCGTGCAATCAGAAGGTTTGGCCCAGCCTGCTTATTTGCAACAGAGAAGTTTGAAAGCTTCAATGGGATCCTCCGCAACGCCTCAGTCCATTCAAATCGCCACGCTCCTGGACGAGATCTGGCCATATCATTTGCAAATTACGAGTGCATGCGTGCCATCCAGTCCGGGGGAAGACTCTTCAATCACATTGAACAAAGGCATTTTTTCCCTTCTGAAAGCCTCACCACTATGTGCCAAGACAAAATGATTCAAAAGTCCATGGGGTACAACCCCCCCAGAGATAATACAACCACCCCACCCCACATAACTTATCCATCCAAGAAGGCCCCCCCCATTGTCATACCTCAGCAACTCCAAGATGCTTACCCAAACAAAACCATCAAACCCATTGCAACAATTATGCTTGACACACACAGGAGGCTCAAGAAGGGGATATTTGTCCAGGTGAGGACCAGCTGGAAAAATATGTGATGATGTACCCAACTTAAAAAGAAATCCAACTCCTTATCCACCCATATGCACAGGTCAAATCTACAACCACAAGAAGGATTGGCCGAATCGATTACCTTTGGCAAATCTCCTCTCCAACCAGCAGTTCATTGGTCATGACTGTCACATGGTTCAAGATATTGGGAATATCTGAATTCTACCAAATGCGGCTAATAGAAAGTACTCACGTGATGCAGGATGTATATGCAAGAGTTAGTCTGCCCCAAAAAATATATACAAATTGCCTTATAACCTTACCTGACTGACATTAACTATGAATCCACCTCAGGAAATAGAAGCTACTATCAATGTACAACATAACTGCCATGATGGCCAATGCAGCTTCAAGAAAAGGGAGAGGAATGAAACTGACATTCAAGAAGGGGACCCAGGACTCAGCTATGAAACCATCCACAATAACAACAACAGTTACCTAATCAACATTGCAGCATTTCATGCCACAGGCAATCATCAGCATTTGTCCCAAATGCCCCATCATCACATCACCCCAAGCCAGTGGCAGGCTGCCATTCAAATGGGCCTAGCCAAGTGGACCAAAGACCCAACACAACTTTCTCAGGCCAATCAGGCCGCGGAAATCCCATCCGAACTCCAACCAGTTAACACCCATTCACCCATGAGAGGAGTTGAAAGTGTCCGATCCCAAAGAAGTCAGGGCAGCTCAGGCAGACAATCATGGGGAAGCCACAGTGTAGCATCAAATAGGGATGGCACACGTCATTCCCCACCCTCACAGACAGGCCCCTCCAACAGTTACACATCATGCACACCTAGCAACCCTCACCCCCAAACATCTCAAGCAAGAACTAACCCAAACACTCGGCCAAATCCCAGTCCCCTCATCCCCCCACACCCTCAACAAAGCAGAATATATCAACATAACTCTACCCTGCAAGATGAATCACAACTCAACATGCCCATGCCCCCATATCAGCACCACATTAGACCAACCCATCCAACAGGTGTATCACCATACCCCAACCCCAACTGGACAGGAACCCCAACCTTACACAGGTCCCAATCCAACCCCAGGCTTTACACACCTTATGATGCCCAAGGTATGCATTATTCACCCCAGCCAATGCAGACAAACAGCCCTCATAATAATTTGTTGGGATGGAACCCATCAAGTTCAACTGCATCAACCAGACCTAACAGTTGGGGCACCATCCCCAATCAGTATGACAACTCCCACATGAATTATCCACACCAAGCATATTATGGGCCAGGCCCCAGCAGATATCAGTCATCTGTAACCGGGCCCCAATACCCTCCTGGTACAGGTACAACCCCATATCCTGCAAGATCCATTGACTCATATTCCCAAGGATCCAGGCAACCTCAACCCAACAATACATTATACCAGTACAATTATCCTGGGGCCAATCTCCACAATGGAAGCATGGGCACATCAGACTACACTGGCCACCATTATGAATATACCCCAGGGTCATCAAACCACAGAGGACCACCACCACAATAATTAATTATACAAATGAGCATCAGAAGCAGGGGTTTGTAATTTCTTCAATTTAAATCATCATACCTCATATCCACCATTGTAATGAGCCTCCAGTTACCAAGTAAAACAATCGATTAACCCCATGAATTGTAAATTCACCACAGTTAATAAATCACACCCATTGTCCAAACAGCCATGCATGCATGCACAAGGCAAACAAGTCATGCTTGCATGACTTGTTATAGAGGTTGCAACCAATTTTGCCCAACTGATGCAGTTGTGATGTGTAGTTGCATGGGAAACAATCATTGAAATGAACAGACCCCTGACAAGTTAAGTCAAGAGCAGGGGAATCAAGAATTAATCATCCACACCATGATAATCATAGCCACAAACAGGCCCACAGAATGATAAAAAAGAAATAAAAAAAACCTCTGGGAACAGACATTTTCAAGATATGATCATGAGGGCCCCAAACAGGCCAAAACATGAAAAACATGACCATTCAATCACTTCTTAACAGAAACCCCCGAGCAGCCGCTTGTGGCTGCACCGGCAATAGATGATTTTGAGTTGGTAGTCTTCACTTGAACAACCTTGGCGCCCTTGACCACTTCCACATCAGGTGACGAATAGCGGCGGCGACGCTTCCGGGGTCGGACATTCGTATTCGATACCCAGGACGCCGGTGGGCCGTCCAACATAATCAAATCAGGTGACGAAGAGCGGCCCGGCCCGCGGCCACTGTCCGCAGGCTTAATGGGGCCGTTGGAATTGGCATCGGCTGGAGGTTGAGAACCGTTCGAATTGGCATCTGCTGGAGGTTGAGAACCCTCGCTCGTCGCCAGGACATCGGGGTGAGAAGACCGACGAGAACTTGCGTGAGTAGAAGCCCTTGCGAACTCAGGCTCAGGTACCTCGTCACCCGTCGAAGAAGAGTAACCGCGGAGCAAACAGCCAGGGCTGGAAGTGGGCGAGTCGGCCTCCAAACGACGGGAACCTGGAGCCGAGGCGGGTGTGTCGATCAATCCGTCAGGACCCGCAGAATCGGACGCCTCAGGTTCAAGCACAAAACATCGATCCGGCGGGGGTAACGGTTCACCGCTGGGCTTGAACGACACATAGACCTCGGATGGCATCGGTTGTGGCTTCGTCGTCATCCACGTCATCCACTGGGATCACACAAGTTAGATAACCAATTCAGATGCATCAGAAAAAAACAATACTTACATACTCAGGGTCCCCAATGCGACGTAATGGATTTTCCATGATCAACTGCAATCGGCACCTCTTTGGAAGCTCCGCCTGCGCCGCATGTTCGCCAAACAACTTGTACATTCGAGAGACATCGAAATTGCCCGTTGGAGGCCCCCCCGGCCAGCTGATATTGCCTCGCCATTGGAGCTTCCGCGCTGCATCCGCCGCCGTCAAGACCTCGGTCAAAGAGAAATCGGAACGAGATGGCCCAAGCGCCGCCATGACCGCGCGCTTAAATTCCCCAACCGACATCGCAAGAAACGGAACCTCGAAGGGGGGGAGGGAGGCGGCCACGGCATCGTCAGACGCAACTTCAACGTGACGCACGTTCGGAGGCATGGGCGGAGCGCCGTTGGGGAACATCACGTAGCTGGGGACCCATATGTGGTACGATACATAAACAAGGGGGAATCTTTCTCGTTGTTGAACAGCCGGGGTAGGAGAGCTGGGCCGCGCCTCAGGATCAGGTCGTCTTGCTAGGGCGGATTCTGCCATGGTTGGAACGTGTTGATGAGATGAGGATCCCAGCAGAAGCAAGTTTGATTGCACTTGCCACCGAGAAATATGAGCCCAATGATGATATCAATAATATCATGATTGAAAACCCATAATATTAACTTCACCGTGCAGGTCAACCCGACCACTCACACCCGACCGCGATGCTCGGCAGGCATGCGTCAGATTTATCATGGTCACGCTGACCAACCGTGATGCCCGCAAACGGCAGACGGCAGATGGTTGGGATGACCGGCGAGATGTCATGGTCGACTTGACCCCAAGCGTCAACGCACGAAGTCAGGCCAACCGTTTGCCACCGGCCGGCCTGCGGGCAAACTGACCCTCCGGTGACCTGACTGGGCATGTGTCAACGCGACCATTACATGGCCGTTAAAGACCGGCCAACCCGTCGGTTGTACATGGGTCGGGGGGAATGGCGTCAGGGCGGCGGGCAGCATATGCCAAACGTGGTGACAGCTGATGACAGCATGCCCCCGGACGGTCAAAGTTCGGGCGGCTGGCCGACAACCGCCGAGGTGGAAAGTGGTCGGCTGACCATTCCGACCGTCCCGGCAGCCTGACCGAAATGCATCAGGCGGGCCGACCAATTGGTCAGGACAACCGCGGTGTGACGCACAAACCCGCGGCAACTCGACCGCTCGGTCATCCCGACCCATTACTTTTGTTTGACGTTGCGTCGACGCCCCGGAGGAGCGAAAAGTGTCCTGGTGGTGTATGAGGAACACATGAAGTTGAAATTTGACAGGTTTCATCCAAAACTTCACCAGGCGGATCAATATGTGCAGATCAGTCGGGCTGCTTCCGAAGGGCTTCAATTCTTCATGCATGCACGACTCCGACGGGGATGGCTTGTTCCGAGCGAGATCGGTTGAGTGAGGAGAGTCCTGCATTAGTCACATAACCGGCTTGAATGGCGAACCGGTTGGCCCTCTTAAATATAGCGCGTCTTGTCGCGTGTTTGGGCCGGCTCCGGTAACCTTAACAGGCTGTCTAAGTAGATCTGCCGATTCGCCCGACCGATCGGCAGTCCCCTATGTTAGTGTGCAGAACGGGTCGGCCAAAACCTTCCCGGTAGCCGGTTTAGTTTCATCTGCAGTTTATACCTTTGACATTGCAAAAGGTTAATATTGGAATACTTTTCTTTTACCCAGCTCATCAACTTTCTATCACTATTAATATTTGTACATCAAGGGAAAACATTAGCTAAAGACGCATAGCGGTTGCACTTCTTTCTTTTTTGTGAATATTATTCTCATGATTCTATATATACACTAGTAGCGCTGGAACCCGTTCCCGGGATCTCCGGGTATACCCGGGGGGTACACCGACGGTTTAGGGCTCCGGGACAGCTCTTCAGGAGCCCGAAGACCGGCGGGTAGGTCAGGTACGGTCCACAGGCCGCCTTGGAGATACCCGCGGGTATCTCGGGTTTGCGCTGGGGGAGGGGCAGTGGGGGCCAATTGGCCTCTACTCCTCCGCAAACCGGGGTACCCGCGGGTATCTCCGAGCCGGGACCTCGTATCGGCGGGTATACCCTGTGGTGAGCGGGTATACCCTCTGCTGGGCGGGTATACCCGCCTTGAATTCAACCCCGCGGGTACCCGTGACCCGTTCCCTATACCCGCGGGTACGTCTCGGTCGCACTGATTTCCGTACCCGACGAACGGGAATACCCTCGGGTCGGGGCGCGGGCAAGGCCAAAAGGCTCGGGTACCCCGCGGGTTCCAGCGCTATTAACACTAGCTATGTGGATGAAATGACACACAGTTGGTGGTCACAACGTGTGTTGGATAGTAGTGAGAAAGAAAAAAAAAGCCACAATTGTTCACATTGAAGTCCTTGAAAACGGAGTCCAAAAAAAAGAAGGGAAAGGATCAACAAGAAGGAAGAAAAGACATTATAATTTATCCACGTTTTGACGAATATTCGGAACCTTTTGAATTATCGTCCAATCAGCACAGATGACACGTTCCAAAATGCGACAGAAAACATCGATAACACTTCATCTGGTAGCAGTGGACCCAGAGGCACCAAGAACTTGGCCATTGGCCATTGATTGACCTCATAAGGGCCGCGCATACCTGCCAATCCTACACCTATGTCGAACCTGATAGGTTCCAGAGCCACATGGTTACTTCCAAGAGTCTTTGCAAGGAAAGAGGCAGAACTCACCAGGCATCCATAAACATTTGGCACCAAAACGCAAACCAGCCCCACAGCCAAAACCAACCCAGTACCCCCCCAACCCGCCGTCCAGTGAGCTTTTTGAAGATCATCTCAAGTGCGATCCCCACCCCCGACAACAGAAAGAATATCGTCGTCCGGAAAGACCAGTCAATCTTATTTGTGCATGAAACCAATCCTGTATGCGCACAAACAAGGGTCAGTGCCACTAGATCCAATTTCTCAAAGAAAAGTGAGGAGAGAAAGTAATCACCCCATTCGTGCTGGCTCCGGAATCCAATATCGCAAGAATGATTGAGATAATTGGGGCTCAAAAAATTTTCATGCTGTAAACGTTTGACTTCAACTCAATGAATGTGCAACACTCACCAAAAGACCGCTCATGAGCATGGCGCCCATGAGTCCAGCCAATCTGGACACCGTTAATCCACACGGGGAAAACAACTTCGCGAGCGGTTCTGCACCGCAAAAAATGAAGTCTCTCCTGAAGGTAGACTGCCAACCTGTATTGAAAGGAAGTTAGAAACCTAGATGATAACAAGGAGGTTTTTTCGAAGCGAAATATTTGCCTTTCGACCAGAATTCAGTCAGACTGGTCCTCAGTACTGCTCTCGAGAACAGGTCGGGGTACTCGGTCGTATCAAATGGCTCTGGTCTCCATTTGGATGTACTTGGGAGGACCGCTCGAGCCCCAGTTATCCAGAGCAGCTCCCAGATGATGAAGATACATCCGACGAGATCAAAGGCGTGCATGCCTACTGTTCCCCAAGGCAACATGAACACCTTTTCGCAGAAAAACCGAACTGGCCAGGTGTCCGGAAGATCCACGTATTGTGAGACCCAACCGTAGATCTTTTCCGGATGGGCTGCAGTGGGAAGAGCGATCGAACAGAAGGCAATCAGGGCCAATTGGTTGAGTACCAGCCGACCAAGTAATCTCAACAAAAACTTGGCCATCGTTCTCTTAGGGGCCGGCAAGAGTACAGAAGCCGGTGGACCCCAGACATAGCCTAAAGATCTTGGGCTATGGAAACATTCAATGAATTAGACTATGGCGGAAGGATACATTTTTAAAAAAAATTCTTTAACATATCAATTATCTTACCTGCTTGTCATCCAGATTGAAAAGCGTGCTAGTTCCCCGATGCTAGGAGCAGATTCTTTTGACTTCAAGGAGGTTACCTTGTTCTTTTTCTTCGCGGGCATTTTGGAGACCCTCCTTTTTTGGACTACTTCGGTAGGCGTCACTTGAGAGTCCGAAGTGGTGATGCTCGATGAATTGTCTGAGTCTGTATCCGAGGAGGAGGCCTGCTCATCGTCTTCTTTTTTGTGCTTAGCGACATCGATCTGTCTGGCAGGTCCCCTATGAGTAGCGTATTGTAATGTAACACAGATTATGTGGAAAGTCGGGATCGCCGCGATACAATCTGTGACCAATTAGAATTATGGTTTCGGGATGATAAAGCGTAAGTAGAAAGGCCAACGAGACACGGATTTGGACAAGTCGACGACTGACAGTTGATGTGAAGATAGTCTTCCAGGGGATAGAAAAGCCTTGTTTTCTGACTGTAGGTGACGAGGAAGATAATCAGAGGTGCCAGCCATGCTCTTGCCTTCCGGGCTTGTGGGTCAGGTTCGAAATATGGATGTAAGAGGGCACCCTGAATCAAAAGAACAGGAACTGTAATGTAGTTCACGGTCAATTGCCAAAGGTAAGAAATAGACAGGGCGGGTGCAACCGTGATGGAGGCCATTGCGAAAGAGTTCTTTTACTTCTTCTGTTCTGTTTTTTTGCGTGATGGGAAGGAAAAGCTCGGTTCGCTGAGAGGCAGTTGCTTAAAGACACCAACTTCACTTTGGTGTTTTCAATTCACAGCTTACGCCCAGGTATTCGACATCGAGCTTCCCATCCGACATGCCTCCCTTATTTATAATTGCAAAAGATGAGGACATCTTGCTATTGGGGATTTGCGGTCCTCCTGTTCGAAGAGGCACAGCGTGGATCGCTCTTTACTTCTAAGTTCTGTCTATATGCAGATCGTAGCATCCGGACACTCCGGTACCTTACTTCCTGCTCTGTGCTGAATCCCAGAGAAACCAGATTAAAATCAGTAGAATAATCAAGGCTAGAGGGAAGCGGAGGATGTGCTTGGAAGATTCAAAACACCCAAGACTGTATTTTGCTCCCAAGGCAGGTGACTACAGCTTTCTAATCTGGGCGATCATCCAGCTTGGTGGTCCTGGAATTTGACAGGGGCTTGAATAGATGAGCAGAAATTGGTCTTGTGGGTTGCTCAGACTGTAAAGCGTATTTGTCGCTGGAGGATAATTTGAGCCCCTTTAATTGGAGGAATAGCAAACCTCAGAATAGTCGACATAGCCTTGCCTTGATGGATTGGAGTGGGTAGGCTTGCTGTGTATGACGGGCACATGACAAGTCAAATTTTGCAGAATATCCGTACCTAGAAATCACCATCCACAACGAACCAGAACCCTAAAACCAGTGCTTTATTCTTAGGCCTGTAATCTTCACCAACAAACCTTTAAGGAGCTTGGTACATCATGTTGTTCGAGAAAGAAAGACTCCTAATATTGCTTCTGTCCCCAGGTTTTGGGCCTGCCTGGAATCGTAGACGGCCCAGCGCAGCAGTATGGACATGCGTTAAACTGATCAGAATCATTTTAGTGTAAGTTGGCCACTCAGGGCCACTCTGACATGTGGACAGCTTCGCTACCCGCTGCCGGTACCATCTGCTGAGACTCACACGAGCTTAACATAAGCCTCGCGATCGGAGGGTCCCGAAGGAACACTCGTAGCGACCTCCTCGGAGGGACCTTGTGTTGAGTTCAAGCTCGCCCCGGGCTCGGGCGAGCAAGTTGACTGACGCCCGGGTCAAAATTGTCAAATGAGAGCTCGGATTAACGGCCCTCAGAAAGTCCCTCGACCGGTAAAAACGATTTGATGCAAATTTCATTTCGCTAGCCTTCACCCAAGGATGGCGGGTTGTTTCAAGTTATAAGGGTTCATACCCTCAGATAAGGCCAGCCGAGCAAAATATACTTGTAAACCTCGCCGATCTAGCAGCCACCCCAAGGAAGACCGGGTTCCGCTACGCTGAGCTTATACGGCGGGGAGGGTTCATCCATGCCCTTCTTCGCCGAATCGGTGCAACTTGTACCGATGCGGCCGTGAGAATTTTCCCCCGCCAAACCGGGACAACTTGCACCAGTTCGCCGAGGGAGGGCCTTCCGTGCCGAGCAAATACAAGTTGTATCCGTTCGGCGAGGATGAGCTTCTCCGTCCAAGAGGTACACCTCGAGCTTGGCCAGCTCGGCCTGGAGAAACCCTTCTCACCATAGTAATTCAACTTGTGCCCGTTCACCGTAGAGGAACTCTCCCTATCCATTTGGTACACTCTACACCGAGCGGGCACAAACTGCAACGGTTCGGGGAGAAGGTTTATCTCAGGTGAGGAGCGTTCCTTCCCGCCAAACTAGTCCAACCTGTCACAGTCAACGGGAAGCGTTTCTCGGCTCCTCGCCAAACGGGCACAAGGTGTTTAGAGATGATGAACATATATGGGCAAAGCGCCTACATGGTGTTCTGAGTGTTTCTCATAATATACAAAAAGATAAAGAAACAACAACAACAGCAGCAGCAGCAGCAGAAACAGCAACATAAGAGTCAGTCATCTTTGGTGATGAGGCAAATTAGTAGGAGCTGGTTGCTTCGGCTCAGCTAAAGATTGGACACGGGCAGCTTCTTCGGCACCAAGTAGGCTTTGCAAATGTTCTAGGGGGATGTGTCGAGTGAGAGCGCCATAGAGTTCATTTTGGCGCTTGTTCCAACCGTTTACCTTGTCTTGTGAAGTGTTAATTTTGGTGACTACCAAGGTGTAGGGAGTTCTTCCCTTCATAGTTTCCTGAGTGCAGGCAATATGGGCCCCGTCGAGTTGCTCTTTCAAGTGGTAGCGCCTATATTCAGCCATTTCAAATCGACCCACACGTTGGGAGGTGTTTTGGAGGAACTGGTTGAGATCCTTGCAGTCACTGCATTGGCAGTTCACATGAGGAATTGTGAAGTTGACACCCACTTGAGGGTATGGCCCGATAATTTTGTAATCGGAGTGCTTCATGAATTGTTGAGTGAGCTTCTGATAAGTTGGTGTGTTGAGCGAGACTGATCGAGAGGCCAGAGCCGGAATCAGCCGATATAGGAACGGCATCCAGAGGTCATTCATGTCTTCAGCAGAAAATGTAACACATTGTGCAGTAAGTTCTTGAAGGAATTGCTGGAGTGGGTTGCCTGCATCGGTGCTTAGATCGAGATCGCAAGCAAATTGAACTAGAGCCTGTGGAGTGACCACCAGCCCAGTCTCAGATGACTCCTCTTCATTCGCGTCGTTGGGACCTGATGGAGCCCAGGTCGGTGGGGATACTTGCGGCCCATTTTTGGATGGTAACTTTGCTTTGGCTACGGTAACGATATTCGAGAGCTTCCTCTGGGGGTTGAAAACGCGTGAGCTAAGGCTTCTGTAGAGTTCGATGGTATGGGAAATCGGGAGATGCCTTCCTTGTGCTTCAGACTTGAATCGGAAAAGGAGATCCAGCAAAAACGCAGTAGCCTCGGCTTGAGGAAAGCGGTCAAAAATCGATGTAAGACTAAGTACATTGGATGGAAACAGAGGTCAATGACATTCCATACTGGTTTGGTTGACACAGGTTCCATGATAAAAGCAAGACCTACAGCGCAGATGTGTCTGTCCATGTTTCATTAACATCGAACACGGCAGAAATAATGCATTCTGCGTCTGATAGGGTGGGCTTCTTGTTGGTCTCGGGAAAACTCAGAATACACCGACGAATCACATCTTTTGCCCAAGGGTCCATGCTTGAGAATGGTGCATCTGGTACAGCGGCGTCACCGGTATGATTTGACATTCTCTTAATGATGCTGAAGCTTACAGCCATAGATGGATAGCCCTGGATGAGTAAAGGTATCCTATTGGACATGCAAACAAGATGAGCTTGGGTTTGTGATTTATCTCGTTATGGGCAATGTTCCACAGAAACTCCCAAACATACCATTTCTGGTACTTTTCTGCACGGTCTGCATCTGAAAGCGTGTCGAGCCATCCCCTTGCCCAATCAAAAAACTTGACTGGTAAACGACCTTGATGACAAACTCCAACAGTCTGGAGCAGCGTGTAGTGAGAGTATTCGAGTGCACTCTTGAGGATATCAGTCATCTCCAGTTTTGTGCTGAGCTTTGATACGTAAAGTGAGCAAATCGCATCAAGCATTGTCATTCGAGCTGAAGGGCCCGGTCGGATTTGACCAAGGTAGCGCAGAGCTGATTCGAAAGATGTACTGTCCGGGGAAACCAGACTTTTGTATTTCTTGACTGTGGGTCCAAATGTACACTGCGCCATAAATTCTCCTATTTTTTCGTGTGGAACAATAGCAACAGCTGAACGACGGTACCAATGGTCGACATCGGCGTCCTGCGCATGTGAATGTAAAGATTTCCGGTTAGTATTTTAACCTTGAAGCTGGGCCAGATACAAGCAAGAGACGTACAGAATTTCCCTGGTATTCATAGCTTTCGCTGGCAGCTCTTAAACCTCGGAAAGGATGCTTCACCAGACAAAAGTGTGAGTCAAAGTCATACTTTCTGGCTATGATGGTACCATCAAGTGCACAAAGTGACTTCACAACGGTGCTAGTAGAAAGTACCGTGTCAATCTCATGATGGCTATCGTAGGATTCAGAGTCGGTGTAGCAGCCAGTACGTTTATTGACTCTGTAACGCGGCCGAGAGACAGTTCCCTGTTTCCATTGCTCCAATACCGCGAAGAAAATTTCGAAAGGGAGCTCGCGCGCAAAATTTTTCAATGCACGTATTCGCAACAAGTCTTCACCTTTGAGTTCTTCGAAGGGCATGGTAGCTTTGGTGTAATCATGATCAAGGGTGTGGTAAAGATGACTCGGCACATTGGTCGCGTCGCTGTGAGCCAAGTCCCCGAGCCATCGTTCAAGCGTGTTTCGTAGTGGGTCCACTCTCGAGTCGAGTACACTTGCTGCTGGTCTAGTGTGACCATGGCTAGGCCTGATGGCCAGGTTGTAGGTCAAGACGCATCGATAGCCGGATCGGACCGGTAGAACCTCATGAGTGACGTCCGAGTACCAACAAGCAAAGGACTGCTTGGCATCCGATGTTCTGAAAGTTTTACATTGATCATTGTGCTTTACCACAACTTCGCCGCCTGTGTGAGCTGATGGCAGACAGATTATCAGAGTGCCAAACATGCCTGGAGTCCTCTCAGCACTATACATCGCCGTTAAGATATCACTTGTGTGTCAGTAACCTGCCTGGGAATTACAACCAGGCGAATTAGCTGAAAGATGACTCTTACTCGGTGCGTGGCTTAAACGTAGCTCCCTTTTCCAATATAAGCAGCCTATAGAAATCCAATCGAACTGGCTCATCAATGCCGAGCTTTGTCGCAACAAGTTTGCTCAAATCGACCAGATAGCCTTGCCATTCTGGCTCGAGGAAGAACAATTGGTCTCGGCTGACTTCCCACGCGTTAGGGACAGAAACATCCGTGGTCGTCGCGTCTGAGGGGCCAGAGGGCACCTGGTGGGCTTTGGCAATCAGCTGTAGAACCTGTCCTTCGCTGAGCGGGAAGTCGATTTCCCCACTTCCGTCGACCAAGAACCCAGCAGGTGGGGGGGTCGGAAGCGCTTCCCACCCTGCATATGTCCCGCAATTTTTGATAGCGTTAAACGCGTGCCTTAATTCCGTTTTCAGAGGGAGTTTTTTGTTGAGATTTCCTTCCATGTCGCGTGCTGAAGAACAAAAGATAGGAAGGCGAAGGTCAGGAGAAGGAGCTGTTGAGCTTGTAAATAGAAAACAAAGGAAGCTGTTACAGGCCGGCTCTACCTCACCAGAAATCTGCGAGGAGGAAAGCCTTCTTTCAAGCTACATAGCCCAATTTGGCCTTTGTGTAGCTCTGTGTATGTACGCAAGTCAAGATGCAAACATTCATGTACGTCATGCTCTGGCTGTAAAGACGTGTACTGTCAGCAATTTCAAGTGTTACATACGGTTATGTAATTTCAGGGCCCCTTTCAGAGAATGTGTATGGGCTAAGAGCTGCTAAGAGCAACTCCACCTCGGGCTGTAGATTGGGTCCTTGACATGTAGGGACTCCCTAACTTAACTCCATCAGGACCCAGGAAAGCCCCTACCAAGCCGCCTCATGTAAATCCAGGAATATCTAGGTTTTTGATACGTAGGGGAACCTGGTTTTTTTGGGCCATGCCCAAAAGTGATACCTTTTACATGAGGGTGCTTTTTTAAAAATTTTCAGGGGGCACATTTTGATACACCCCACATTAGGATCATTCTAAAGGTGCACGTAGTCTTTTTTTTACAAATTTTCAAAAAATTTTGAATTATGAAAAAAACCTCAGATTCATTTTGCTACCTGCTGAAAGGCTTTAATGTCTTGCTCTACTTTACTTGAATATGTACACAGGGGAAAAAAAGGTTCCTTGCACAGGGGGAACATCAAATTTTGCAAGGTGGGGCGGGCAAAAGAGATTGGTATTTCCTGAGGAACATTTGCAAAAAAAAAAAGAAAAAAAAATCTAAAATTGATACTAATCCAGTGATTTTCATGAGGAACATTTCAGAAAAATTTCTGAAATAGATACATGTTACATGAGGCGGCTTGGTAGGGGCTTTCCTGGGTCCTACTCCATCCCCATTTGTCAGAGTGGTAAACCACTTGTTGCATTGTGCTTACCGGAGGGAGGGACTTACATCTAAAGTCAACAACACAGCCTGAGAGCATCAGGATTTTTGGCTGGGAGTTTTTCATAACCAATCTCATACAAATTTGGCTGATTATTTTTTCCTCTGGTTTTCACTTTTGGGATCTTTTGAGCTGTCCCCATCCATGTGCTAATTTTGCTAATTGTAAATGTTATAGCAGAGTATGGGCTTAGGTACATTTACATAGTTTCACATGTCATGTCACTCTTATTCCCATACTATTATAGTCTTATATGGATTTATATATATATATCAAATATACATTTAGGTTTTGTTTCTCACCAACCCAAGTACATAGTTGTAAATATTATAAATAGTCTACCACCTTTGGAATATATTTTTCCCCTTGGGGGAGTTTCATCTCGTGATCTAACGGTAAATGCATCTGCTTGATGAATAATGATGCTTGTAACAATGTCAATGCCAGATACAGCACAGTGCAAAATATGTGATACAGGATGAAGCAGGAGAATTTTAGTCACAAAAAGCCAAGTTGTGTTGAGTTACCGTACATAGATTTCATATGCTTGTAGGTAGTATATGCTTCTACTATGGAGATTGTTCCGTGGTCCTCCTTGCAGGTATCTAGTACCGCTTGGGGGTACCTCCGGCACCCGCTGCGCACCTGCCAGGAGGTGCCAGGTGCGGTGCCAGGTGTCTGTTTTTGGAAGAAAAAAAAACAGGAGGTACCTCAGGTACTGCGGGTACCACCCCACTTCCCTAACATAGGGTGGGTGGGTGGGCTGCCTATCTTATAATAAATATGAACAAATTGAAAAAATTGACTATACACTTTCAACAGTACTTCATATCCAGTACTGGATATGCAGTAAAAAAACTGGATATGCAATATTTTTCCTTTTTTAAAAGATAGTGTGAAGAAGTAAACAAAAACAGCACATCCAGTTTCATTTTACCACATATCTAGTACAGGACATGAAGTAATCTTGAGATAGCTAGTGGAGCTAAGTGAAAAAGAGAGGAGAGGTACCCGCCCAGTACCCTCCAGAAGGTGTCTGGTGTGGTGCATGGTATCTATTTTCTTGAAAAAATGAACAGGTACCCAGGTACAAACAAAAAATCTCCATTCTACTAAGACTATCAATTCTATACCACTACCAGTCTCCTCACCATCTTCTTCCCTCCCTGAGATTGCTACTCATTTCCTCACCTGTCATCTTCATTGTGAGTAAAGTAGCTCTCACTGAGTTTCAGTCACCTTGTTTCGCTCAACAAGTTGAATGCCACCCAAGGACCAAAAAAATCAAGAAAAATATGGAATGATTCTCCATGATCTTGTGCATATTTTGCTTCTCCAAAACATGATCATCAGCTGAAAAATGGTGCTGCTACACATGATTGAAAAAGGTGGATTGTCTAATTCTCTCAGGCTGAAGGGTTGACTTAGCGCCTAAGTCCCTCCTTCAGAGGGTCCCTGCAGGACAGCATTCCCCCTCTAATTAGAGGGACTCCTAGAAGCTCACCTATGGACTACAAATACAAATTGTGAAACTCAACCCTCACACACCACTCTGCCCTCCGCAGCACACCTGTCATGAATTTTTATGTAGAGTGACCAAGGCACAGCCAGGTCACCTTCGTCCATGGTCGCCAGACAAACTAGCTGAGCCAGGGCTGGCTGAAGCGCTTGAGCAATCACTACCAGATCCCAGTGCTCAGACCGCATGCACCACGAGCCAAATGGGAGATAAGTACCAGGTTGTCTGGATCTCTTCCCTCCCCAGGCCCGTTACAGATCACCCAGCTAGTCGTTGTGACCTTTTTCCTTGCTACTCCTCCCCCACCCCACTTTTTTAGGCAAAAAGTTTCTTCAAAACCACTACCAATAAACAACCACAATATATTTCCAGGTAAAGCATTATCCCTGTACAAAGCCCGGGCTAGACCTAACAGCTGCCATTTATCCCATTCACAAAGATCCCAGGTCGGGCTTACTTCCTGACGCACAAATAAGCATCCCCGTACCGAGAAACCAGGTTGAGTTTCCTCCCTGAGACAACTTTGTGGCAAGCTAGGCATAGCGTTTAGTCTACTCGCCCAATTTTGATTTTGATTAGTCTTAATTGAGTAGCCTGGCTCACATTTCCAAATTTTCATTGCTAACTTGTATTCAATTTTTTGTTTCTGATTTATAAACTCTGTCTAAACTTGCACTGGAATCTGGCTAATTTTAAGTGGAAGAACTCAGTCCCCCCTGCTAACTTTATCAAATAAAAAACTGCTAAAAATATGAAATGTGAACCATTCTAATTAAAATTAAGACTTGATTTTGATCATGATCATTCAAATGACTTATCAAAGTCCCTCTGAATTTAGAGGGGGGGGGGACACCGCCTCCTGAAGTAGATACTACAAACTTAAATCAAAAATTGTGCTCTAGCCTAAATCAGAATTCTTCAATTTGGATTTTACTAATTCTAACTACTTCAGCTTCCAAGATTGAAAATACCTTTTACAAAAGAAAATATGTGCCTGCTTTCTCTGCATCTTTTGGCATTCTCAATATCTCTTCAAGTCATCTGGTTTTGCTTCCATGTTCAATTCCAAGTTTCTTCCATGTTTTTGTTAATGGATGAGTGAAAGATTCAAAGAGGGAAAGACTTGATGAGTTTGTATTTCTGTATGAACAAACTAAGAATATAAATAGTAAAGAAGATATGCTATAAATGAGATACAACAGTATAAAGATATTCTAATCTGGACTGATGAGAGCACAGGAAGGTACACGCATAACTAAAAAATATGCTAATAAGAGTTTGAAAGGAAAAAGAGAGAGCTGAAACACATGAATATCTACAGTTTTTTCTAGCTGTACAACTTGGCTATATTGTACACAGTTTTTGAGGCTAAGGCTTCCTGTCTGATTTGAATTCCAGATGAAATCTGGAGGAAACTTCAGGAAGCTAAGGGACCAGGAAATGTGGGAAGAGCAAGCAGATGCACTGGTGGGAGTATTCACCTGGTAAGCAGGTAACCTAATAGAATGAAGGAATCTTTGTTTGGAAATATTCATCAGCAAAATCAGCAAAATTCAAAATAGCCCAGAAGCTAGAGAGTAGAGTGGGGATTCCAGTATAAGCTGTAAGTCCCTCCCTCTGGTTGGTGAAATGTGACAAGTGGATTACCACTCAAACCATAAGGCAGGAATTAGACAAGTTGGATAATTGATCAAAAGCTGTGAAAGCCAAGAACATCAATGTCAGCAATGGTGTGAATGAAGATAAGAACTAAGGAAGAATTTACTGGACTTGATTGATCATTGATCAATAATATCTTTTTTTATTGAACCATTAATCAGAACAATCCCATTAGATCCATTCTTGGACAAGAAAAGTATCAAAGACTTTAAACCATTATTTTATCAGTTAGACAAGATAAAATAAAATAGGAAGTTTTTAAATTAGGAGGCATCAAATATATACAAATCCACAATTTTTTTAGGGTCTTAGTTAAACGACTCCCAGAAATTGGAGTTCCGACTGGGGGTTGATAAGCGCAC